ACAACTGGCAGCTCATGGAGACCTCGAAACCGACCTTCGCGAATCTTCGCCGGGTCCTTCATTCCATGCCCACGAGGTGGGCTGCAAGGTGGTTTTGGTGGCGCGGTGGCCACACTCGTGCCTCACGACAAGAAGGGGCCTGGGTTCGATTCCCGACTCGGGCTCCTTTCTGTGTGGAGGATGTATAACCTCCCACTGTTCTGCCAATTGTGAGTGAGTGTGTGTGTGTCACTGTGTGTGTGGTGTGTGTCACTGTGTGTGTGGTGTGTGTCACTGTGTGTGTGTGTGTGTCACTGTGTGTGTGTGTGTCACTGTGTGTGTGTCACTTTGTGTGTGTGTCACTGTGTGTGGTGTGTGTCACTGTGTGTGTGTGTGTCACTGTGTGTGTGGTGTGTGTGTGGTGTGTGTCACTGTGTGTGTGTGTCACTGGCAAAACAACCTCCTACCTCCTCGCGGTGCCGGACGGGCAACACTGTCGTGGGCAGTGCTGTGGGGGGAGGGCCAATGCCCATTGGCCTCTCCCCTCATGGCGTCTGTGACCACCACAGTGGCAAAACGGGGGCTCTGGACGGGTGCGAGGGGCTGGTAACCCCTCCACCTTCAATCAACCACCACTAAACTACGATATAAACATAAACCTGTAACTAATAAGCTTGTGCCGGAGGCCCCGGGGGGATCAGGCTTTTATGACGTCTCCTGGCCAAACCCCATTTGGCGGAGCCAGGAGATTGAATTTTCACCCTCGGGGCTCCTCCAGAAACAACAAAAAACCATTGCGGATGGCCACGTGGAATGTTCGAACGCTCACTGCGGAGGAGAGGCTGCCACTCCTCTGTCGGGAGCTGGACCGGTACCGCCTGGATCTCTGTGGCATTCAGGAGGTCCGGTGGACTGGTTCTGGCTCCTGCCACCATGAGGGGTGGACAGTCCTCTACTCGGGGCAGGAGACTGCCAAACAACAGGGTGTGGCTCTTCTTCTGAACAAAAGAATGAAGGGGGCGTAGGAGCGTGGCGGTGAGGTGTGGGAAGCTGTAAGCCCCAGGATACTTTGGGCTCGCCTTCCCATCAACCAGAGGCGAGGAGTGGTGGTCGTGGTTACTTATGCCCCCACCGAAGACGAACATCCGTGGAGGGATGCAGGCAAAGCCGATGAGTCAGACGCTTTCTATGACCTCCTGTCACAGGTGCTGGCTAAAGTGGCCACTCGGGACAGAGTCATCTTGTTGGGTGACTTCAATGCCCGAGTTGGTCATGATGCTGGCACCTGGTCTGGAGTGATTGGAAGGCATGGGCCAGATCAGCTCAATAATAACGGTAGGAGGCTGCTAGATTTTTGTGCAGCCCATGGGCTTGTAATTACCAACACACTCTTCCGGCATCGGCGCATCCACACAACATCATGGATACATGCCGGGTCCAAGCAAGAACATCTGCTGGACTACATAGTGACGGACCAGCGGATGCGAGCCCATGTCCTTGACACCAGGACCTACCGTGGAGCTGATCTGCCCTCTGACCATCGACTAGTCATCTGTAAGATGCGCCTGCCTTTCTTCCACTCCGGTGGTGGGTGTACACCCAGGATCCCATTCCAACCAAAAGTGGCCTGGTCTCAGTTAGCTGATGAAAGTTGCAAGCGAGAATTTCATCATCGCTTGCAGCTGGGGTTGGCATCGTCCCCCACTCCACCTGATGTCGAGGGTAAATGAGCGAAGTTTAAGACTGTGACTCATGCAGCTGCAATGGCTGCTTTGGGTACGCGGTCCAGACCTCCCCAGAAACCCTGGCTGACAGAGGAGGTGTTCAGGTTAATTGAGAAAAAGCGACAGGCCCACTCTCATCGCCTACAGCATCCCACGTCAGAGAATGAGGAGGTTTACCGCAGCCTTCGCTCGGAAGTTCGGAGAGCCGTAAGGCGCTGTAAGGATGGGTGGTGGTCGCGGGTTGCTGAGGAGATGGAGTCTGCCTCAGTGGCCCGTGATCACAAATCACTATTTAACTCCATCAAAAAAAATAACCTGCAGCGCCACACCTATTACCATCATTAGAGGAAAAAACGGTGATCCAATCTCCGACCCCCAGGAACAGGTTTGCAGATTTGCTGAGCATTTCTGTGAGGTCCTGGGGGAGGGAAATTCTCTCAGACAGGAAAACATCATGGCACAAAGTGGGGATGACCCTGCTGAGGCTGCGGTGCCTCAAATATTGGAAGAGGTCACCCCCTGTGAGTGGCTGGCTGAGGTACCAGCTGTTGAGGAAGTACTGAGGGCGATCCGGAGTCTGAGACCAGGGAAGGCACCGGGCAGAGATGATCTCCCAAGCAAAATGCTGAGGGAGGGTGGCGTTTGTGCACAGACTGCCCTATATGACATCATAACAACAGTCTGGACCACTGGACGGGTTCCGCAGGACTGGAAGGATGCCCTGGTGGTCCCCCTCTTTAAAAAGGGGGACCGTACCGACTGTAACAACTACAGGGGCATCTCACTCCTCAGTGTGCCGGGTAAGGTCCTGGCAAGGATTATTCAACATCGCCTTGCTAGAGGCTTGCGGAGCCCCAATGCGGTTTCAGGAAAGGGCGGTCCTGCACAGATGCCATATTTTCTGTCCGTCTGCTACAGCAGAGGTGTAGGGAATTCCAACAAGACCTACATCTCTGCTTTATTGACCTGGTCAAGGCCTATGATACCATCAGTAGGACTGGGCTCTGGGTTGTTCTTTGTGCTTTCGGAGTCCCTGACCCTCTGCTCACGATCATTAAGGACCTTCATGATGGTGAGCGGGCCCGGGTAAAACTACGTGGCCGGGAGTCGGAGCCTTTCCCTGTACACCTTGGGGTGCGACAGGGATGTCCTCTGGCTCCCACATTATTTAACATCTATTTTGACCGCGTAGTTCGTGAAGCCTTCCATAGCTGTACCGGGGGAATTTCCATTTGGTACAGATATAATGGGAGGCTGATCGATGCCCGGGTGCGATCAAGGGATGGCTCCCTATTGGTCAACCACGTTATGTATGCCGATGATTTGGTAATAGCTGCTCATTCAGAAGAGGAGTTGGAGACGCTGCTGCTGAGACTGGAGCGTGCCACTAAGAGGTGGGGCCTTACCATCAGCCCCACCAAAACTAAGCACCTACCTGGGTATTTTGTACCATCGGACACTCCACCCCCACAACTCCCAATTGGTGATGGGGCAGTTGTGGAGAGAGTGGAGAGTTTCCCATACCTGGGCAGTGTGCTTATGACCGGCTCCAGTTTATCAGCAGAGGTCTCACTCCGAATCAGTCGAGCGGCAATATCTTTTCATCGGTTGCGTAACGCTGTGTGGAAGCTACCTGGTCTGTCGCTCCGCACGAAGCTTCAGGTCTTCTCGGCCACGGTCATTCCCTCCCTTCTCTACGCTTGCGAAACGTGGACCCCCCTAGTGGAGCATCTTCGCCGGTTGGAAACATTTAGGCTGGCCTGCCTACGATCCATCCTGGGTTTAACCAGGCTGGATTGTGTGAGGAGCTCACAAGTCCTTGAAAGATCTGGGCAAAGTCCCATCAGTGAGCTCCTCCGGCAGGCAAGGCTGCGTTGGCTGGGTCATGTAGCCCGCATGCCCAGCCACCGCATGCCTTAACAGCTTTTGTTCGGCCGGATCGAGGGGGCTAGACGGGCGCGGCACGGGCTAGAGAAGAGATGGAGTGATGTGGTACAGGAGGACGTGGAGCTGAGTGGACTTGCCGATGACTGGTACCAGCGGTGTCAAGATCGGCCTCAGTGGAGGAGACTCGTGAAGGACGCTACTGGGCAGTTGGAGGCAGTCGCCCTCCAACAACAACGGAGGGCGGAGGAGCGACGCTCACAACAACGAGCGGAGCGCCGGGTGGCTAAAGCACAGCAAGTTGGTACAGTAGGACGCACAGGTGGTGCATCAGCCAGTCATCTCGGTCATCTCGTTCAGTCGACCCGTGGCACCTGGGTCTGCCCCGTGACCTCCTGCCAGCGGGCGTTCGACACTTCACGTGGCCTCAAGGTGCACTTGGCCTGGCACAAGCATCGTGGTGACGTCACCGCCACTTAGTGGCGAATGGCGGTTGTTGTTGTGTGGTTGTGTATAGAGAGCGGTAGTTTAGCGGTGAGCACGTTGCACTACGAACCTGGCGAACCGAATTAAATTCCCTCTCACAGCTATCACCGGTGACGATTATCTGAACTGGTGCTGGGCCTCCCCTAGGTTGACTCAGCCTCAAATGGGTACCTGTTGTGTAAACATCGCCACTCGGGAGACAAAGGGGGCCGGGCGTGGTGTTTGCCACTCGAGCTCGCCGGCTCTGCTCGAGGTCGCAGGGGCAATTGGCTACGAACGAGCGGCGCCCACGTGACAGCTGCCGCTGTCTCCATTGCAGAAGGTCGCCCAGATCCGGAAGGGCGCTGCTGATGTGCAGAGGGGAAAACGCGGACGCCCAGAACACCTCCTGGCTTTGACATTCCTGTACGACACACAGCATCACCAGTCTGCGGTGCACATCTCCTTCGCGAATGTAACAACACTTACAGACAAAGCCACGGTGGTGCGATTGTGACCAGGCAAGCCACACGGTGGCCCGTATCGTGACCCACTGTGGCGTGTAAGAAGGACGACACAGAATCTCTATCCTGAAGCCCTCTCGTCATGGCCAGCACACCTCGACACTGGCATTCAGCCCCAGAACATACTGCTGCCATCACGCCCAAGAAGAGATTTGGCACTGAGTTAGCATCTCCAACAGTGACCCCAGCTGAGAGGGGCTGAAACTCCACCCAGGGGCATTGCTCACTCAGACAGCTCCTCTCAGCAGTATTCGCTCAGCGGTTCAACCATTAGGTGAGGATCAGTTCTCGAACCCCACTGCTCTCAGCGTGTTTCCAATAACAGCTCGTATCTTGGCCAGTTATTTAACACCCGTGTAATATTGGACTTATTAACCGCGAAGACGCAGTCAATAATTGGAGTTTAAAGTCGGATATTGGACCACGCGAGGAGGGATTTACGAGGAATATATAAGAAGGCAATAACCGCCTTCATCATAAGGCGGCGCAGCGTGCAGTTACGCAGGGTGGATGACATACATTTATAGTATCGTATTATTAGCATTTAATTTCATTATATAGTATTATAACTTGACCGCGGCGAGAGTGAAGAATGCATTCTTGCAATTACTGCGTCGTAAAGACCTCGGTAAATCAGCGCGAAAGGCACTCATCAGCGACCCCACGCCCAGAACACGCGCTGCTGCTGGGCTGAAGGGGTAGCCCGAGAGGACAATCCACACTTGATAAGCCACAGCCCTCCATTACCATCCGGACAATACGGCTTTAGTTGAGGGCCCCGCGGATTAGGTGGATGGCTAACGGTGAGTGGTTACGTTAATCGCAGGGTAATTAGGGGAGCGGCTAAAACACAAAAAGGTAAACAGTGCGGCTGCGTGCAGCTCCGAAGCAGCTGCCCGCGTGCTCCACGTGAAGCGTGGATGACGACTTGTCAGGCGATCGTCCGGGACATTTGCTTAGCTGGGCAGGGCCTGGCACGTCGCGGGGACACGATGATGAGCCACCGGCCCAACGAGCCGAAATATCAAGTGGCCAGCATCAAAAATCACTGTTAAGGTTTCAGTAGATACGAGTGTAACACGTTTATTTGATTGAGCAAGGTTATTATTGTGATTATCATGATAAGAGTTTGGGGGAAACGAGACGACGATGGGAGGAGGGAATTCCAAATTGTAGCCGTGGAAAGGGAAGGAGCTGAAATAATAACAAGCGATGCCACCTGCAGTGGGGTGAGTGAGCGAGTGGATAATTGAGTGAGTAGGTAAGTGAGTGAGCAGGTAAGTGAGTGAGTAGGTGAGTGAGTGAGCGAGTGATTGAGCGTGGGAATCTGTGAGGGAATCGAACCCAGGGATCTTCTTGTAAGAGGCACAAGGATTAGCTCATGAAGAATTAAGTGCAGAACCACATTTGACGCGGTGGCTTTTTCCGTGCAGTCGTTAGTGGGCGACCGAGCCGAGACCATCAATGTCACTGCGCTTGATTACTCGGTCGAATCACGGGCGGTGGTGGAATCCCGAACCCGACCACCACCGCCGCCACCACCGTCGTGTCCACGCGGGTAGCGGCTCAGCGCTCTGACCTCTCGACCTCTGACCTCTCGACCTCTGAGCCACCCCGCGCCGCCGTCGCTCTCGCCGCGGCGTCCACCGCGCCGGGCGCCGGAGTCGCCGCGGCGTGAGTCGAGCGCGCGGCTCGGGGGGAAGCGGCTGTCGTTGATTTGTTCCGCCGGCGCCGAGCAGGGAGACGGCACCGAGCTGGGAGACGGTGGCGATGGCGGCAAAGTGGCGGCGATAGTCGCCGCGGGGCGGCCTCCGAGCGACGAAGTCCCCGCGGAGAAGCGCGACGAGGCGCTCCTCTACGGCCTCGAGGATCGGCCGCCCATCCTCCTGTGCATCGTCCTCGGATTCCAGGTCAGGGGGGTGGTCAGCGTCGTCGGGGCGGGTGGCGGCACTCGCGCGACACGGCAAGCCGCGGGCTGGGCTCCACTCCGCACACACAAACTCACTCAGAGAGAGCGTCGCTCTCTCTGAGTGAGTTTGTATGTCTCCTGTCGCTCTCTCTGAGTGAGTTTGTGTGTGAGTGAGCGTGAGTGTGAGTGAGTGAGTGTGAGTGAGTGTGAGTGAGTGTGTGAGAGTGAGTGTGAGTGAGTGTGACGGTGAGTGACGGTGAGTGTGAGTGTGCGAGTGGGCACAGGGGGGAGCACAGGTGATGCATCTGCCCGTTATCTCAGTCAGTCAACCAATGGGCACCTGGGCCTGTTCTGTGACCTTGCTGCCAGCAGCAGCGAGCCGTCCACATCTCACGCGGCCTCAAGGGGCACTTCGCCTGGTGGCTCTTGCTGTGAGTGCGTGACAGTGTTCGGAGTACGGGGAGCGGTGGTTGAACGGTTAGCACGCTGCGCTACGAACCTGGTGTCCCGAGTTCTATTCTCACTCAACTCATGATCAACACCAGTGACGATCTGAATAGGTCCTGGGCCCCCTCTAGGCATACTCCGTCTCAAATTAGTAACTGGTGCGATGTGTAAACATCGCCACTGGGGAGACAAAGGCGGCCGGGCGTGGTGCTGGCCACCTACCCCCTCGTGTGCCGACCCGGCCTTCATAGGTGCTCGCTAACAGCACTTGCCCCAACAGTCTGTTAAGGCTACACGGTGGATATCTGTCTTTGTATTTGCGCGCGTGAGTGTGGGGAGCGGTGGTGCAGTGGTTACCGCGCTGGATTGTTTGAGGAGCTCACGAATCGCAGGGCAGCAGCTCTAGCAGCTCTAGCAGCTCTAGCAGAGAGAGCAGGAGGCGTCTGGATGGCTGTGCTCCTCACGTGCCCGTCCACAGCACTACCTCCTCGCGTTCGGCGGCATCATCGCCATCCCACTCATCCTGGCCGAGCCGCTGTGCGCGGGCGGCGACGACCTCGTCAAGGGGCTCCTCATCAACACGATGTTCTTCGCGTCGGGGCTCGCCACGCTGCTGCAGACCACGCTGGGCACGAGGTGGGGCGGGTCGGTGGGTCGGTGGTTGCTTGAGTGCGTGTGTGAGTGCGTGTGTGAGTGCGTGTGTGAGTGCGTGTGTGAGTGCGTGTGTGAGTGCGTGTGTGAGTGCGTGTGTGAGTGCGTGTGTGAGTGCGTGTGTGAGTGCGTGTGTGAGTGCGTGGGTGAGTGCGTAGGTGAGTGCGTGGGTGAGTGCGTGGGTGAGTGCGTGTGTGTTAGTGCGTGTGTGTTAGTGCGTGTGTGTTAGTGCGTGTGTGTTAGTGCGTGTGTGTTAGTGCGTGTGTGTTAGTGCGTGTGTGTTAGTGCGTGTGTGTGAGTGCGTGAGTGCGTGCGTGAGTGCGTGCGTGGGTGAGTGCGTGGGTGATTGTGTGTGTGAGTGCGTGCGTGGGAGAGTGTGTGAGTGCGTCGGTGATTGTGTGAGTGCGTGGGTTATTGCGTGAGTGTGTGGGTGAGTGTGTGGGTGAGCGAGCGAGCGAGAGATTGTCCACCCCTCCCCGTGTGCCCAGGTTGCCCATCCTGCAGGGTGGCAGCCTGAGCTTCGTGGCTCCGGCCTTTGCCATCCTCGCCCTCCCCGAGTGGCGGTGCCCGGCGCTCAACGGCACGGAGGCCGCCCACGGCGCCGCGCGGCCCAGCGACCCCGAGGTGTGGCAGCCTCGCATGCGGGAGGTGAGAGCGGCACAGCGCCACTAGAGAGGACATCGCGTTGATTTACTCGGCAGGTTTCAATCTGAGTTTGGTTCAAATCTGATTGGTTTGTTCCTGCGAGGTGAAGCCACCTCTGTTCAGGTGACTGACTTGGTGGATCGGGCCTCTCACTTTCTGGATCTTGTGCTGATGGACGACGTTTACCGTCGCTTCACAGGGGACAGGCACGTATATAATCGCTGCTAAACTCTGTTGGCAACTCACGCGGTGTGAGTGAGGCCAACCAATCAGAACCGGCGAGTTCGTAAGCGCGTGACAATTCAATTCGCTTGGCTGTGTCCGGTGGTGGAGGGTTTCTCACGACACGGAGCATTATGCATCCTTGCACCAATTGACAATGGAATGGATCTATCTCCCGACTTGCCAGGGGTATTGGTCGTGGTGACCGACGCACGCGGCTGCCTGTAATCCAGCAGCGCTGAGCACACCCTGCCTCGCCAGGAGAAGGCAGTACAGCAAGTGGACTCTCGCACATCTCTTTCTATCCGTACGGGGATCGAGTGTTTCCCCCTCGCACGTGTGAGATTTCTCCGGGTGCTCCAGTTCCCTCCCAGTTCTATAAGCACTCATTAATTGGCTGCAAACATCTTACAATAAACATCATTGTAGCAGGGCCTTCCTGAAAAAGAGTCATACAACTCCGTGTGACTCTCCTCGATAAACGTGTAACTAGTATAACATTATCAGTATTATTATAAATTGCCATCTGTTTGCCACCTGCACGGGGATTGATCGTTGGCCCACAGTCGAGGGCCACTTGGCGCCCACGCTGTGGGGTCCCGCGCCTCGCGAGCCACAAGCCCCCCCCCCCCCCGCCCCCCCCCCGAGCTGTTTGTTTGACTCCTGGTGACGACCGCACGCAGCTGCAGGGCGCCATCATGGTCGCGTCGCTCTTCCAAGTGGCGCTGGGCCTCACGGGCGCCATGGGACCGGCCCTGCGCCTCATCGGGCCGCTGTCCATCGCGCCCACCATCACCCTCATCGGCCTCTCGCTCTTTGGGGAGGCCGGGCGCAAGAGCGGCGGCCACTGGGGAATCGCGTGCCTGTGAGTGGGCACCACCCTCGCCACCACGGCCTCAACCTCACCCACCCACTCACCCACCCACTCACCCCCTCACTCACTCACCCACTCACTCACTCACCCACTCACCCACTCACTCACCCACCCACTCACCCACTCACCCACTCACCCACCCACTCACTCACTCACCCACCCATTCACTCACTCACTCACTCACCCACCCACTCACCCACTCACTCACTCACTCACCCACCCACTCACCCACTCACTCACTCACCCACCCACTCACCCACCCACTCACCCACCCACTCACTCACTCACTCACCCACCCATTCACTCACTCACTCACTCACCCACTCACTCACCCACCCATTCACTCACTCACTCACTCACCCACCCACTCACCCACCCACTCACCCACTCACTCACTCACCCACTCACTCACCCACTCACTCACCCACTCACTCACTCACCCACCCACCCATTCACTCACTCACCCACTCACTCACACTCTTACTCACCCACTCACTCACACTCTCACTCACCCACTCACTCACACTCTCACTCACCCACTCACTCACACTCTCACTCACTCACCCACTTAATCACTCACTCATCTACTCACTCACCCACCCACTCACTCACCGACTCACTCATGTACTCACCCACTTACTCATTCGTTCACTCACCCACTCACTCACTCACCCACTCACTCACCCACTCATTCACTCACTCACTCACCCACGCACTCATCTACGCGCTCACCCACTCACCCACTGACTCACCCCCTCACTCACTCATCTACGCACTCACCCACTCACTCACCCACTCATTCACTCACTCACTCACCCATCCTCTCACCCGCTCACTCATCCATCCACTCACTCACCCACTCAAAGGTAAAGATCCCCCTTATAGCCTTATCAGACTGTTCGGGCAAGTGCTGATCGCGAGTATCTATGAAGGCCGGGTCGGCACACGAGGGGGGTAGGTGGCCAGCACCATGCCCGGCCACCTTTGTCTCCCCAGTACATCGCACCAGGCATTCCTTTGAGACTGAGTTGACCTAGCAGAGGCCCAGAACCGGTTCAAATAATCGTCACTAGTATTGGCCGTGAACGGGAATTGAACCTGCGTCGCCAGGTTCGTAGCGTGAACCGCCCCACTCACTCGCGTGCTCACTCGGCCACCAAGGTGCAGTAGTTCCACAGTAGAGGGCGATGTTGCTGCTAATCCTAATTGAATAATTTGCAGGTAATGAAGTTTTCCCACTTGGCAAAAAATGTATAACATTGACGGGCACTGAATGGGAAACCGTGTGAATGTGTTGGTCCTATCGCTGCGAAATCCAAAGCCATTAGAAACCGCCACGGCTATAAGTCGCCACACCGCGAGTGATGACGCGCACCTCCGCGTGTGCCCAGGACCGTGGCCCTGATCGTGCTCTTCTCCCAGTACCTGCGCGACGTCGCCGTGCCGGTGCCGGGGTTCGTCGGGGGGCGGTGCCGTGTGGTGAGGTACCCCGTCTTCAAGATGTTCTCTGTGAGCCTCCACCTGCACGGGCGCACCCTTGCATTCAGCCCCCACTGCGTCGTCTCCATCATCATCATCATCATCTCCATTCTTGTCTCCATCATCTTCATCATCATCATCATCTCCATCATCATCTCCATCATCATCATCATCTCCATCATCATCTCCATCCTTGTCTCCACCGTGCTCATCAGTACAGTCAATCAATGTTGACTGCTGCCATATTCCTCTAGAAGCCTCGTATATGGTGAGGACTTGTGCCTTTACACTCGAGTGACCCCCGTTACCACTAGCCTCAAGGCAACACTCAATCAAACCTGTGAACGGCTGTGAGCGACAGGTTTCAGCCTGTATCACTCTACACGCACCTGCTCGATGGTCGACGTGAATTGCAAGCAATCTGCTCAGATTGAGAACGTGTAGGCAGAACCCGATGGCACTTCTCATTAACAACGGCCACTTCGTCTCGACACCCACGCGTCACGCACCTTCTGCCGTGGCGTTCTTCGGAGACGCCGGTGGAACCGTCAACCGCATCACAGCATCAACAGGCCGCTGTGCACATCTCCTTCGTGAGTGGGAAATTCAAACCAAGCCACAGTGGTGCGGTCGTGGCCATGCAACCAAAACTGTGGCCCATATAGCAAAGCACTTTCACGGAGGAGGTGGAGGAACAGCGACACGAACTCTCTCTCTGCTGCAGCCCTCTCGTCGTGGCCAGAAGCAGCAGCAGACCTCGACATTGGCATTTAGCTCCTGAGCATGTTGCTGTCATCACGCGTGAGAATAGAATGATGCTGTGAGTATCATGGAGAGAAGCCACCACTACTAAAGATGTCATCATGGTCACGTTCACGATGACACGGAAATTGTTCCTGATCAAGCCGCCCACCGTCACGCAGGGGAGTGTCAGAGCGCCTTCCACGCGATGGGTGTCTCACATCTCGTCTCAGCACAGTGGACAGGGCACCCCCGGTGGGAGCTTCCCTCGGCACGTGGCGCGCGAGTGGGCGCAGTCCACCAGGAGGGAAGGGAGGGTGACGATGGCTACCGTGCGTACATCCCAATTGAGTGATTCGCGGTGGCATTTTTAGAGTTTTGGCAAATTTAGACCACGGCGCCAGCACGCGATGGGCCGCGACTCGCTCCGAACGCCGTCACCACGCGGGGCCTTCCACGTCCACCGCGAGGGAGGCAGACGGCGCGCGGCGCTGTTACGTTTAACGCGGTGGCGCGGTAGTAACCAGGGTGGCCTGCCGGGTCGGAACCACGAGGCTCGGCAGCAAGAGGCAAACGCGCTGCCGCTGCTGGGCCATACGGCCGCCGTGCTCGTTATGTTCACGAGAGAGGTCCCTTCCACAGGAACGTGGAATTTCCACAGCCGTCTCAGGGCCAGCAATACACCGGGCGTGACACAATAACAACAACGATGTGTTGGACATGAGGTTATGTCGACCTTGAGGCCACGAATGTTATAGAAGGTTCCGTGTTAAACATTACAGCGCCGCACGCGCCGTTCCTGTTGGGGAAGCAGTTTCTCGTTACGCAACCGAAGACGGACAGCGGCGTTTAATCATTCACGGGAATAGGTGACGCATCCGAACAGAAGTCTCCCCTCTCAGCGCGCGGTGATCATTCACGGACATTTGTGAGCAAGAACTTCACAGCTCATCGGATTCCTCCTCCAGTCTAAATCAAGATGCTGATGAGGACGATGTTGGTGACCGGGCTGAGACCATCAACTCACGAGTGGCTTGGAACCTGGATTCGAACCCAGGACCAGAGCGCTGTACGTCCCAGCGCTCTGGCTTCAGAGCCACCTGAGAATCTGCGGTGTCGTCACCGTGCTGGCGATCCGAGTCTAACTCCAACTCACGCGGCGTGGCGGTGGCGCAGTGGTTAGCGCACAGCGCGACAAACTTGCTGCATAAGAGCTTGCTAGCTCATCGGATTCCTGCTGCAGTCGAAAGACAGATTCTGACAAACCCGGCGACAGGAGTTTGATTCCCAACCCGTTCACGACCCATAATAGTGGTGACTATTTGAACCGGTGTTGGACCTCCCCTAGGTCGACTCAGTCATAAATGGTGTGTACTGTCTGCATTGGAGAGACAAAGGCGGCAGGACGTGGCGCTGGCCAGCCACCCCTCGTGCGCCGTGGCGGCCTTCGCGGGGGCTCGCTCACGGCACCTGCCCCAGCAGTCTGCCAAGGTGGCGACACGAGGGGATGTTTGTACAAGTTGTGTGTGTGCCCCTGCGCAGGGGCCGTGTGCGTGCCTCGTGGGGAGTGGTGGCGAAGTGATTGGCGTGCCCCGTTACGACCCCAGCGACCCGAGTTCGCTAACAGCTCTTGCCTCCAAACTCTTCGGCTTAGCGGGGAATATTTGTCTGTGTGCCTGAAGTATATATGTGTGCGTGCGTGTTTGATCATGGTGTGGTGTACACATCACTATTAGGGAGACAAAGGCGGCTGAGGGTCGTGTTCTTATGTGCCGAGCTGGTCTTCATAAGTGCTCGCTAACAGCACTTGCCCGAACAGTCTGTTGAAGGCTATGTGGGCGGTCTTTGTATATGTGATCTGTGTGTGTGCATGCGCGGCTAATCCGTGTGTCAATGCGCGCACGTGTAGCCAGCGATTAGCCAGGGCTACGACGTCAGTGAGAGGGGCGCTGGACGAGGGTGGAGGGATGCGGAGTGGGAGGGCGCGCGAGGGGAGCTGAATGCGGCTCTCGTGCAGAGTGGAGCTCCCAGCCAGGTGGGCTCGAACATATTCAGTGCTCAGGTGCAGCGAGAGGTAATCACCTGGTGAGGCGCACCTGGGGCCAGAGAGAGTGCGGGGGAGATTGAATTGAAGAGGGTACAAGTGCGATTGTGGCCTAGCAACCCACATGATGGGCCACATGGTAAACTCATAGTGAACTCATAGAGATCCATGTACGTGTACGGGCGATGTTAGACCTGTACTGTGTGACCTCTGTACCGTCGCAGGACGGTGCAGGTGTTACACTCCACCATCTCCTCCATCCTGCTGCAGTAAATAAAACCAAAGGGGAATGGCAGTCGATGGGCCATATAGTGAACCACTGCAGCCTGGGCTGCAGGAGCAGTACAAGGACACGGACTCTCTCTCTCTCTCCCTCTCTCGGCTGAAGCCTCCCTCTCGTCGTGGCGAGCGGCAGCAGCAGAACCCGAGACGGAACGCGTCGCTGCTGGGTAAGAGCCGGGTGCAAGTCGAGAAGGGGGAGTCACCCTGGGACAGAGACACTGATAGCGTGGAGCGGACCATATGATGCATTTCTCCATCATGTATCCGTCTTCAAAATTGTGCCAATTACAAATTGGCGCACATCCCATGAGGCACCGCAGCTTCCTGGGAGTGCACCAACTTCAGCTGCATTGAAGCGGAACTCTGGCTTGAACCACTGCCGGGCGCGCTGCCAGAAGCGTCGTCTGCACAAAGGGAGCCTCAATGGAAGACGATACTCCATTGTACATGACAGCATTGTTATTGTGAGCACTGTATATGCAATGCAAGGGACACTTGACTGCCTGGTGATGCACGTGGCCTGTGATGCAGCATCGTGGAGGCGAGCGTTGGTGGCTCACACGACTCCCCGTGGGCATTCAGGTGTCGTGCCGTGGGGCTCGCCAGGAGAGGGCAGTCCAACAGAAGTGTGGACTCCACCTGTTCCCTCTGTATGGGATCGAGTGTTTCCCCTTCTCACGCGTGCGGTTTCTCCGAGCGCTCCGGTTTCCTCCCACGCGTAGACGCTCATTAATCGATCGATGTCACCTTCATATTCAGAGGAACAATTGTTGGCGGCGGCTATTGCGTGGCTGCCTTCCGGCTGCCTGTGGCTCTTCTCGAGTAATTCACTCCGTCCGAGAGCGATCTGACGCTGTGCGCCGTCGCACGCTGTAAATGACCATCACCATCACGACTATTGCTGCTCTTGCTGCTGCTGCGGCTGGCGCAGGTGCTGTTGGCCATGTGCATCTCGTGGCTGCTGTGCTACATCCTCACGCTGACGGACTCGCTCCCAGCAGAGCCGGGCGCGCCGGGTCACCTCGCCAGGACCGACCTCCACCTGCAGGCCATCCAGCACGCGCCATGGTTCCGCGTTCCCTACCCAGGTGCACACACAAAGACAGAGATCCCCCGTGGAGCCTGAACAGACTGTAGGGGCAAGTGCTGTTAGCGAGTAGCACCTATGAAGGCCGCCACGGCACACGAGGGGGTGGGTTGCTAGCAGCCTAGCACCACGCCCGGCCGCCTTTGTCTCCCCAGTGGCGATGTTTACTACACACCGCACCAGGTACTCATTTGAGGCTGAATCTACCTAGGGGAGGCCCAGGACCGGTTCAGATAATCATCACTGGTGTTTGCCATGAGCGGAAATCGAACTCGTGCATTCGGGTTCGGAGCGCAGCGTAGCGCTCAGCGCTACACTACCGCTCCCCACACACACACACACAGTCCCCCACACACACACAGACACACACACATACACAGCCCCCCTCCACCCGCATAGCCACCCAGCACCCGGCCTGGTGCCCACAGACACACGGGGAGAGCGCGATACAATCCCGGTGAGTCCACATTCTCACACAACAATTGTCTGTGCTGTCATCCCGTGGCCACCTCGCATCCAACACTCACACACTCATCCTGCTGCTGATTACTGTTATTTGATGATTCTCGGTCACCCTGGCTACCGAGTCCCAAGACTCTGTTCAGGAGGGTCCTGCCAAGTTTCGTAGATTGAGGGACGATTATTGGCACGTTCGATCCCAGCTGAGTAATTTGCGGTGTCATCCTCTAATTGTTTGGACCACGACGAATGGCGTCACGGGTCTCAAACGTCCACCGTGAAGCAGACGGCGCTTGGGACCCTCCTCACGGTAAACACGCAGAGCAGCAATGGCCAGGGCGGCCTGCCAGATTCTAACCGCAAACCTCTGCAACGAGCAGCGACCTGCCACGGGCGCCACTCTCTCGCCCTCAGCACGTGGGTCGGTGCGCGTGGGCGACGTCGGGGAGCATAGACGCGGGCGCGGAGTGAGGTACAACACTAACGACAGTGGTGCTCGTGCGCCCTCTGCTGACCGCCCCGCGTAGCGCTCGCAGCTGCCCGCGGCATCGCCGCCGTGTCGGCCCCCAGTGGAGGCACGCGGCTCCGAGGGCGTCCTCGTCAATGACGCAGCTGCTCTTCACCTGCAGGCCGCGCCAGTGTTCCATATGAGTTGTTGCCTTTGAGCAACGCCATGGCTAACATGTCTACTGTAATCATGTGACTGCTATTAGCCAAATAACCCTGGAGCTGAAAATTACCAGCAAATTACTCAATAATAATATGCACATTCATATGTGTATTGGTGTGCCCTGTATTGTTGAGAACCACGGGGACAACCACGGGGACATCCATGGGGAGTACATGCAACATGCGACATGCGATGTTGACATGCAACATGCGACATGCAACATGCGACATGCAACTCCACATACCCAGGCGTCAGGGTCGAGCCGGCGCGACCTCCTGCGCCCCAGGCGAGGGAGGTGAAATCTCCCCGCCACCCCGAACCGGACGGTGACGACGGCTGCCCCCCCCCCCCCTGCGTGCCCCCCCCCCCCCGCGCAGGGCAGTGGGGCGCGCCGACGCTGGGCGCCGCGTCCGCGCTGGGCATGCTGTGCGGGGTGGTCGCCTCGGCGCTCGAGTCCGTGGGGGACTACGCGGCGTGCGCGCGACTCGCCGGGGCGCCGCCGCCGCCGGCGCACGCCGTGAGCCGCGGCCTCGCGGTCGAGGGTCTCGGCTGCCTGCTGGCCGGGTCGCTGGGCACGGGCAACGGCACCACCTCGTTCAGCCAGAACATCGCCGCGCTGGGCATCACCAGGGTGTGTGTATGTGTCTGTGTGTGTGTCTGTGTGAGTGTGTGTCTGTGTCTGTGTGTGTGTCTGTGTGAGTGTGTGTGAGTGTGTGTGAGAGTATCTGTGTGTGTCTGTGTGTATCTGTGTGTGTGTCTGTGTGTGTCTGTGGGTGTATCTGTGTGAGTGTCTGTGTGTGTGTGGGTGTATCTGTGTGAGTGTGTGTGTGTCTGTGTGTGTGTGTCTGTGTGTGTGTCTGTGTGAGTGTGTGTCTGTGTGTGTCTGTGGGTGTATTGGTGTGTGTGCGTGTCTGTGTGTGTGTGTGTCTGTGTGTGTGTCTGTGTGTCTGTGTCTGTGTGTGTGTCTGTGTGAGTGTGTGTCTGTGTGTGTCTGTGGGTGTATGTGTGTGTGTGTCTGTGTGTGTGTCTCGTTGCGTGGGGAGCGGTAGTGTAGTGGTTAGCGCTGTGCTGCGCTACGAACCTGTCAAACCCGGGTTCGATTCCCGCTCACGGCCAATACCAGTGACGATTTTCTGAACCGGTCCAGGGCTTCCCCTAGGTCGACTCAGCCTCAACTGAGTACCTGGTGCGGTGTGTAAACATCGTCACTAGGGAGACAAAGGCGTCGGGGCGCGGCGCTGGCCACCCATCCCCTCGCGTGCCGTGGCGGCCTTCTCGGGTGCTCGCTCACAGCACTTGCCCCGACGGCCTGTTGAGGTCTACACAGCTGGGGGACCTTTGTCTGTCTCGCTGCGTGGCAATGCAGGTGGGCAGTCGGCTGGTGCTGCAGGTCAGCGGAGTCATCCTCGTGCTGATGGGGGTCTTCGGGAAGTGTGGAGCCGTCTTCATCACCATCCCCGATCCCATCATCGGCGGCATGTTCCTGGGCACCTTCGGGATGATCGCCGCCGTGGGCATCTCCACCCTGCAGGTTCGTGCGGCAGGCTGCGGTGTGGATACCGTGCAGGAGAAACGCAGATGTTCACGGTTCGGACCCGGCAGGCCACACTGGTTAACACTGCGGCGATGTATTCACCTTAAACAAACACTCGCCCTCCGCTTCACGGGTGGACGCGAAAGATCCCGCGGTGTTGGAAAACAGCAGGAGCCCATCGTGTGGCGGCCTCATGCTACAACTTTGCCAAATTCTAAATGAATGGGAGATTTGGCAACTCCGTTGGTTTTACACTAACAGTGGCAATTGTCGCCTGAGCTACCGGCAGGCTGATTCCTGCTGCTTGTCCCACACGGGGTTGCCATGAGATGAGGCTGCTGTGTCTGTGTGTGTGTCTGTGTGTGTCTGTGTGTGTGTGTGTCTATGTTTGTTTGTGTCTGTTTGTGTCTGTGTGTTTGTGTCTGTTTGTGTCTGTGTGTGTCTGTGTGTGTTTGTGTCTGTGTGTGTCTGTGCGAGTTTGTGTCTGTGTGTGTGTCTGTTTGTGTCTGTGTGTGTGTGTCTATGTGTGTTTGTGTGTCTGTGTGTGTCTGTGTGTATTTGTGTTTGGGGAGCGGTAGTGTAGCGGTGTGCGCGCTGCGCTATGAACCCGGCGACCCGGGTTCGATTCCCGCTCATAGCCAACACCAGTGACGATCATCTGAACCGGTCATGGGCCTCCCCTAGGTCGACTCAGCCTCAAATGAGTACCTGGTTCAGTGTGTAAACATCGCCACTGGGGAGATAAAGGCGGTCGGGCGTGGTGCTGGCCACCCATCCCCTCGTGTACCATTCCGGCCTTCATAGGTGCTCTCTAACAGCACTTGTTAAGGCTATACGGGGGATATTTGTCTTTGTGCAATCTTACTGCCGACGTTTTGTTCTCTCCTGGGAGGTCCCAAATTCTCTCCGTGGGTTCTAACGGGTGCAGAAGTGTGCTCGCAAATAGCAGCAAGACGCAACTCCCCATCCGCATGCTTTGCGTGTCAAAATTACTTCTCATTTACCCAGGACAGCCACACTGAGTCCTGCTACATTGGGCTGTTTGACCAACACCAATGCCGTTGTGTGATGGCATAGGTTTCCTCCGGAAACAGGGAAGAACGCACCAACGCCACACTCGGACACACTCACACTCTGCAGAACGGGGGTCAGAATATACAAACCCCACAAGGAAAGGCGCCCGATTTGGGAATCGAACCCAGGTGGTTTTCTGCTGCGAGGCACCAGCTGCGCCACCCACCCTGCCACCCACCTATAAACCACCGCATCGCGTGCGCAATGCTGTCAGCCTTGTCGAGACCACCGGCTCACAAGAGCTGAACGCCTTGGCAGTGATATCGCTTCGCCCGCCAGCTCACCGCCACCGTGTGCCCCTGCCGTGTCAGTACGCAGACATGAACTCGTCCAGGAACGTGTTCATCGTTGGCCTGTCCATCTTCTCGGGTCTGTCCATTCCAGCCTGGCTCAAGGAGAACCCCGGGGCCATCAACACCGGTAGGGACCCACCGCTCACGGGCGCCGCGCACGCAGCCCGGCGGGAGCGCGTCCGCCGCTCGTTCTAACGCAGGCTCGCGGTTCGAATCCCGCAGCCCACCCTGGTTAATGCTGCGGTGTAATAACCGCTAAACCCCGACGCCTCCCTCACGGCGGACGTTAAAGGTCCCGCGCGACGTCGTTCGGAGCGACCAGCGGCCCGTCGCGTGCCGGCGTCGTGGTCAAAATTGAGCAACTTGGAAACTTCCACCGCAAATCACTCGGTTGGGATTTACGTGCGGCAGCAATCGTCACCATCCCGCCCGCCTCCTGGCAGACTACGCCCGCTCGCAGGCCACGTGCCCAGTCAACTTGTGCACACACAGGGACAGCTGCGACCGGGGGTGCCCTGTCCAATTCGTTGAGATGAGACGTGAGATGTCAAGGAGGGCGCTCGACCAAACCACAACTCGCCATCCACGTGTTGAGACGGCCACGCTGGGGCCGTGTGGACCGTCACGACACCAACGATGGAAGTGGAAGACGGATGTTGCCTGTCACTTGTGCTCTGACTGCTCTTTTAACATCATCATCATCATCGTGAGCTTAAAATAAAACACGCACACAATGTACCTGGCACTGGCCAAACAGCCCAATGCTGAAGTATCATCTACCAAAAGAACCAAAGAGTATGGATTCCTGCAGTCACGAAAGCTTCAAATCAAGTATTATCTGCAGATCATTCAATTGGGGTCGCACTTGGCAGGACCCTCCTGAAAGAGAGTCTTGAGCCTTCCTTGGGTCAACAAACAAAATAAAAACAATCAGCCATGTTCGATCCACTACTGGATGAAATCATCACGAACTGCTTCCACTGCTCCGTCTCCACGCCGGATGTCTCCGGCACGCATTCCACTCCCTGGCTGCCGCTCCGACCATCTCCGCCGCCCATCGTCTCTTCTGGCCGTGATGCGTCCGGCCCGAGCCTCACTCCATTTTCCTTACGCTTCGAATGACCAACCAATCGATCCTTATTGCACGTGCCAATATCGCCCTCAATAAGGTCGGCATCGGTGCACATTGCAGCAGAACGGGAACGGCCCCGATGGCACGGAGCCACAGGAATGAAGACAGAGACCCCTCACGCCCTCAGCGGCTCGCGCCGACTGAGCAGAGTAAATTACAACATAAAGTGCAGCCATGCACAACGACTAGCAAGATAAAAGTAAGGAGTGGACAAAATAAATAATAAGTAAAGAAAAAAATGTCCCCTTCTTTGTCTGCAACATCGTGCGCATGCACTCCCCTCCACGCGCTGCTCTGCGTGTCTCACAGCGCAGCTGCCGGCGTGCCGCTCGCCACGATTCTTTGTCCACTCATCAAGTTCATTTCCCTGCGTCGACCGTGGACGTCCAGTGGCCAGCGGCCAGCGGCTTGTCTGGCCCGTGGACAACCAGCGGCGTGTCTGGGCCATGCAGCGTCGCAGGGAGCGCGCCCTGACGTGGCACTTTCTTGTTTGGGATCCAAGTTCAGATTTTCTAAAAACCCTCCGACCTGCTCTCCTCCACCCCTCAAGGTCACAGTTTTATTTGTTTGCTCCACCTACAGCAGCTCTTCTCGAGCGAAGTTAAAACAAACACCCCCATTATTGTTGTGCCATTTATCTCCCGGGCAAAGTGCTGCCGTCACGCGCAATGATATTATTCTTCACTGTCGTCTGTAATCCACTGCTGGATGAAGGCCTCGCTATCCACTATGTTTGAAAAGTAATACTACGACTATTATTGCTTGCCCAAGGAAATCCCCTCTGAGTCTCAAGACTGATTTTTCAGGAGCGTTGTTCCAAGTTTTCACAGCAGGGGGCGACCTTGCTGCTGCTGCTGCTGCTGCTCTGTGCAATCCCCATCGAGTGTTAAGTTTGTTGTCCTTCCCCCGCACCTCCGACGAGCACGGTTGGCTACGTGTGGTGCAAAAGAAGTTCAACACACACACACGCACACACAACCTGCAGGTGATAGTTCAGCATTGGGATGTCGATTGCGATTACACCGCGCGTTGTGTTGCCCAGCCGTGGGAGGGAGCCGGAGGGAGGCCGTGCAGCACGTGGGGGGGGGGGGGGGGGGGCACGCAGCAGAGGGTGACAGCGGTTCCGTCTCTCTGTCTCTCCCTCCGCGCGGGGCAGGGGTGGCGCCGATCGACCAGACGCTCACCGTGCTGTGCACCATGAGCATGTTCGTGGGAGGATTCCTCGGCTTCGTCCTCGACAACACCGTGCCCGGTTCGTTGTCCTCTCACCGAGTCTCACCGTGGAGCCGTGATCCGTCCACGTCGCGTCACGCGGCGCGTCTCACGGCGAGATGTTAACTCCCTCGCCTGGTATGCAGGAGGTTGTGGGTTCGATCCCGACCCTGACGCCTTCTGTGTATTTGGAGTTTGAATGTTCTCCCCGTGGTCGCGTGGATTTTTCTACGGGTCCTCCGGTTTTTCCCTCCATATTTATAATCAACATCAAGCGTTTAGAGTATTTGGCAGCAATACATTTACACGTGATAAGCCGCTTCGTTGAGCTTTCATTTGTGGCCGGGTCGCTTCTGAAAAAGAACAACATAGCTGAGTGGGCCTTACTTGGTGAAATAAAAAAAACTTAGTTTATCTCACAGCACGCCGCACGCGTCTAACGGTGCGTACTGAGTCACTATGGAGTCTGCGCTCCGTTACCGCAGAGCAACTCTCTGTCTCTCTCTGCTGAAGCCCTCTCGTCGTGGCCGGCAGCGCTCGACATTGGCATTCAGCTCCTGAACAGGTTGCTGCTGCTGCTGCTGCTGCCATCATATGCAAGAGAGGGAGAGACGGGTGGAGGATAGGCGCGAGGAACCACAGGCGAGGGGGGAGGCAGCGACCGGGCGCTGTGCCGGCGTCGCCAGCTGTTGCCCAAGCTCTGCTGGTCCTCTTTACATTCAGATACTTTCCACCAAATAATGAGCGCTTGTGCGTGTGAGAGGAAACCTATCCATGCGATTGCAACACGCAATCCCCAATGATTGCCCGAGCTCTGTGGTTCTATCATGGGATGTTTGACCAACTCCAATTTAATGTTTGTACGTGTGGGAGGAAAACCGAAGGGCCTGGGTAAATGCAGCCATCCCTCTGAGGTCACCAGAGTGCAGTGCGCCAAGATGGGGCTTTGTCCAGAGCGGGCCGGGTGGCTCAGAGGTCAGAGGTCAGAGCGCTGAGCAAGGCGATGGCCGGGTCCGGGTTTCATCCGGCAGTCACTCAACCGAGTTCTCAAGCGTAGAGAGCTGATGGCCTCAGCCCAGTCAGCGATGATGCACAAAAAATAATGTACTACAACAATTCTGCATTCATTTCTTGAGATGAACTCCAATTCCTGAGCATTTAAAGGAATGGTTCGAGTCATCACGAGACGACGCAACCTCACTCTCGCGTGTGGAGTGCGTGAAGAAGTGTCGCCCAGAGTCTCACTGGACCGTCCATCTCGGAGGCAGCTCCGGCGTGTCCACTTCTGCGCAGGCCCCTTCTCAAGACGCGAACGGCACGGTCGGGATAACACGACGACCAAAGCGGCGACGGCGGGCGCTCGTCTGAACCGCGGCGGTGGCGGCGTGGCGGCACTTTGATCACGCGGTGCGATTGCCGCTCCCGGCCTGCCCCCCCCCCCCCCCATCCCATCTCGCCGCCCGTCGCTCCGCCAGGCACCGTGGAGGAGCGTGGCCTGCTGGCGTGGAGGAGCCACGGGCGAGGCGACCCGCACGGCACCCAGGACGGGGCCGCGATGCGCGTCTACGACCTGCCGCTCGTCGCGCCGCTGCTGCGCAAGTGGACGTGGCCGCGCCGCGTCCCCGTCTGCCCGACCTTCGGGCAGAGGCCGGCCGGCGCGCCGGTCGCCGTGGGGACGAACTGCGCCGTGTAGCCGTGGCGACGGCGGCGGGGCACCCGGCTGGGAGGATGGATCGGCGACGGCGTGGGATTACCAGAAAACGAATTCTACGATTTGTTGTTGTTGTTGCCAAGTGAAGCCCACTGAGCGACGTAGCTCTTTTTCACGAGCCAACTGGCCACAAGTGACAGCTCAACGAAATGGCTCACCATGTATGGGAATTTATAGTCGCTGCCAAATAATCTAAACGCACATTTTAAATGTGGAGGGATAAAACGCAAACTCCAAATATACAGGCATTGTCAGAGTCTGAATCAAACCCACTCCCTCCGGCATACCAGGCGAGGGAGATAACATCTCCTAGCCCCCACGGCGCCCCAGCTTCAGCCAAATCGAGCCAAGCACGGTGTGTTGATCACATGACCTCGGTGCTGTGACGTCACATCGCAAACCACGCAATTGGGATCACACAACAGCAGCAGCAGCGACATCGCCCCCCTACTGCGAAAAATTGGCAGAATCCTCCTGAAAAAGTTTCCTTGGGACTCAGTGAGGCCTTCCTAGGTAAACGAGCGTATTAGTCAACGTAATACTGTAGCTCTTTTCATAGATGAATACAGATTGTGTGCTTGTGTATTACAGATTATATATTGCTGTTTTACATGTCCAAATAAATAATATTTTTTGTTCATCTCAATCAGTCAACTAACAGGACCCTGCGGGGTGGGCTGGTAGGAATAATACTTAGTACCGGTACAGAGATATCGACCGGGTATAGAGGAGTTAAAGAAAAAATTACTGTATTCTAGTGTAACGTTAATTAAAAGTGTTTGTTTTGACAAGAAACGCTGTGAGATTTAAAGACTCGTAGTCTTTCATTTCCAACACCACCCTCAACACCACCCCTCCCACGGACGGACGGACGGACGGACGGACGGACAGTCGGACGGACGGACGGACGGACACATTAATCTATTGGTGGTCTGGTCCACTTCGTTCCTACCAGTATAAGACTCCCTTGATAATGCGGTGCATGTTTTACCACAAAGCATGATGTGTGGTGAATGCAGACGTGGCGATACGCGCTGTTTGGCATTTGAACGTCCTAAATCCTCCTGTATACTTGCCGGAAAGGGTAAAGCCTATTATTTTGTCAACAAATTATACATCATGTAGCCATTATGATTACAACAGTGCAGTATATATATACTGACTAGTGAGTATAATGTTGTCATGTCGCTGTCGCGAATACAAAACGTCTCGTGGGCGGCGAGGCGGTGGCCCAGCAGGAGACCGTCCGCTGCTTGTTGCGGGGACTCATGGCTCGGAGTCCATGGGCTGCCCTGGTTAAGACTGCAGTGATAAGCTAAGACTGCAGTGATAAGCTAAGACTGCAGTGATAAGCTAAGACTGCAGTGATAAGCTAAGACGAGTGATAAGCTAAGACTAGTGACAAGCTAAGACTACAGTGATAAGCTAAGACTAGTGATAAGCTAAGACTGCAGTGATAAGCTAAGACGAGTGATAAGCTAAGACTAGTGACAAGCTAAGACTACAGTGATAAGCTAAGACTAGTGATAAGCTAAGACTAGTGACAAGCTAAGACTGCAGTGATAAGCTAAGAGTAGTGACAAGCTAAGACTACAGTGATAAGCTAAGACTGCAGTGATAAGCTAAGACTAGTGATAAGCTAAGACTAGTGACAAGCTAAGACTACAGTGATAAGCTAAGACTAGTGATAAGCTAAGACTACAGTGATAAGCTAACACTAGTGATAAGCTAAGACTACAGTGATAAGCTAAGACTAGTGATAAGCTAAGACTACAGTGATAAGCTAAGACTACAGTGATAAGCTAAGACTATAGTGATAAGCTAAGACTAGTGATAAGCTAAGACTACAGTGATAAGCTAAGACTACAGTGATAAGCTAAGACTACAGTGATAAGCTAAGACTACAGTGATAAGCTAAGACTAGTGATAAGCTAAGACTACAGTGATAAGCTAAGACTGCAGTGATAAGCTAAGACTACAGTGATAAGCTAAGACTACAGTGATAAGCTAAGACTGCAGTGATAAGCTAAGACTACAGTGATAAGCTAAGACTACAGTGATAAGCTAAGACTAGTGATAAGCTAAGACTACAGTGATAAGCTAAGACTGCAGTGATAAGCTAAGACTACAGTGATAAGCTAAGACTACAGTGATAAGCTAAGACTACAGTGATAAGCTAAGACTACAGTGATAAGCTAAGACTACAGTGATAAGCTAAGACTACAGTGATAAGCTAAGACTACAGTGATAAGCTAAGACTACAGTGATAAGCTAAGACTAGCGATAAGCTAAGACTACAGTGATAAGCTAAGACTACAGTGATAAGCTAAGACTACAGTGATAAGCTAAGACTACAGTGATAAGCTAAGACTAGTGATAAGCTAAGACTACAGTGATAAGCTAAGACTGCAGTGATAAGCTAAGACTACAGTGATAAGCTAAGACTACAGTGATAAGCTAAGACTACAGTGATAAGCTAAGACTGCAGTGATAAGCTAAGACGAGTGATAAGCTAAGACTAGTGACAAGCTAAGACTACAGTGATAAGCTAAGACTACAGTGATAAGCTAAGACTACAGTGATAAGCTAAGACTAGTGATAAGCTAAGACTGCAGTGATAAGCTAAGACGAGTGATAAGCTAAGACTAGTGACAAGCTAAGACTACAGTGATAAGCTAAGACTAGTGATAAGCTAAGACTAGTGACAAGCTAAGACTGCAGTGATAAGCTAAGACTACAGTGATAAGCTAAGACTAGTGATAAGCTAAGACTAGTGACAAGCTAAGACTACAGTGATAAGCTAAGACTGCAGTGATAAGCTAAGACGAGTGATAAGCTAAGACTAGTGACAAGCTAAGACTACAGTGATAAGCTAAGACTAGTGATAAGCTAAGACTGCAGTGATAAGCTAAGACTAGTGACAAGCTAAGACTACAGTGATAAGCTAAGACTACAGTGATAAGCTAAGACTACAGTGATAAGCTAAGACTAGTGACAAGCTAAGACTACAGTGATAAGCTGAGACTACAGTGATAAGCTAAGACTGCAGTGATAAGCTAAGACTGCAGTGATAAGCTAAGACTACAGTGATAAGCTAAGACTGCAGTGATAAGCTAAGACTACAGTGACAAGCTAAGACTACAGTGATAAGCTAAGACTGCAGTGATGAGCTAAGACGAGTGATAAGCTAAGACTAGTGACAAGCTAAGACTACAGTGATAAGCTAAGACTAGTGATAAGCTAAGACTGCAGTGATAAGCTAAGACTAGTGACAAGCTAAGACTACAGTGATAAGCTAAGACTGTAGTGATAAGCTAAGACTAGTGACAAGCTAAGACTGCAGTGATAAGCTAAGACTGCAGTGATAAGCTAAGACTACAGTGATAAGCTAAGACTGCAGTGATAAGCTAAGACTACAGTGATAAGCTAAGACTACAGTGATAAGCTAAGACTACAGTGACAAGCTAAGACTACAGTGATAAGCTAAGACTACAGTGATAAGCTAAGACTGTAGTGATAAGCTAAGACTGCAGTGATAAGCTAAGACTACAGTGACAAGCTAAGACTACAGTGATAAGCTAAGACTACAGTGATAAGCTAAGACTACAGTGATAAGCTAAGACTGCAGTGATAAGCTAAGACTACAGTGACAAGCTAAGACTACAGTGATAAGCTAAGACTACAGTGATAAGCTAAGACTACAGTGATAAGCTAAGACTGCAGTGATAAGCTAAGACTACAGTGATAAGCTAAGACTACAGTGATAAGCTAAGACTACAGTAATAAGCTAAGACTGCAGTGATAAGCTAAGACTACAGTGATAAGCTAAGACTACAGTGATAAGCTAAGACTACAGTGACAAGCTAAGACTACAGTGATAAGCTAAGACTACAGTGATAAGCTAAGACTGCAGTGATAAGCTAAGACTGTAGTGATAAGCTAAGACTACAGTGATAAGCTAAGACTACAGTGATAAGCTAAGACTACAGTGATAAGCTAAGACTACAGTGATAAGCTAAGACTGTAGTGATAAGCTAAGACTACAGTGATAAGCTAAGACTACAGTGATAAGCTAAGACTACAGTGATAAGCTAAGACTGCAGTGCTAAGCTAAGACTGCAGTGATAAGCTAAGACTACAGTGATAAGCTAAGACTGTAGTGATAAGCTAAGACTACAGTGATAAGCTAAGACTGTAGTGATAAGCTAAGACTAGTGATAAGCTAAGACTGTAGTGATAAGCTAAGACTACAGTGATAAGCTAAGACTGTAGTGATAAGCTAAGACTACAGTGATAAGCTAAGACTACAGTGATAAGCTAAGACTAGTGATAAGCTAAGACTGCAGTGATAAGCTAAGACTAGTGATAAGCTAAGACTACAGTGATAAGCTAAGACTAGTGACAAGCTAAGACTACAGTGATAAGCTAAGACTACAGTGATAAGCTAAGACTACAGTGATAAGCTAAGACTAGTGATAAGCTAAGACTGCAGTGATAAGCTAAGACTAGTGACAAGCTAAGACTACAGTGATAAGCTAAGACTACAGTGATAAGCTAAGACTAGTGACAAGCTAAGACTGTAGTGATAAGCTAAGACTGTAGTGATAAGCTAAGACTAGTGACAAGCTAAGACTGTAATGATAAGCTAAGACTACAGTGATAAGATAAGACTAGTGATAAGCTAAGACTGTAGTGATAAGCTAAGACTAGTGATAAGCTAAGACTACAGTGATAAGCTAAGACTAGTGACAAGCTAAGACTACAGTGATAAGCTAAGACTACAGTGATAAGCTAAGACTACAGTGATAAGCTAAGACTACAGTGATAAGCTAAGACTAGTGATAAGCTAAGACTGCAGTGATAAGCTAAGACTAGTGATAAGCTAAGACTGCAGTGATAAGCTAAGACTAGTGACAAGCTAAGACTACAGTGATAAGCTAAGACTACAGTGACAAGCTAAGACTATAGTGATAAGCTAAGACTGTAGTGATAAGCTAAGACTACAGTGACAAGCTAAGACTGTAGTGATAAGCTAAGACTACAGTGACAAGCTAAGACTGTAGTGATAAGCTAAGACTACAGTGACAAGCTAAGACTGTAGTGATAAGCTAAGACTACAGTGATAAGCTAAGACTAGTGACAAGCTAAGACTGTAGTGATAAGCTAAGACTACAGTGATAAGCTAAGACTAGTGACAAGCTAAGACTACAGTGATAAGCTAAGACTAGTAACAAGCTAAGACTGTAGTGATAAGCTAAGACTGTAGTGATAAGCTAAGACTGTAGTGATAAGCTAAGACTGCAGTGATAAGCTAAGACTGTAGTGATAAGCTAAGACTGCAGTGATACGCTAAGACTGCAGTGATAAACTAAGACTGCAGTGATAAACTAAGACTAGTGATAAGCTAAGACTGTAGTGATAAGCTAAGACTGTAGTGATAAGCTAAGACTGCAGTGATAAGCTAAGACTACAGTGATAAGCTAAGACTAGTGATAAGCTAAGACTGTAGTGATAAGCTAAGACTGTAGTGATAAGCTAAGACTGTAGTGATAAACTAAGACTAGTGATAAGCTAAGACTACAGTGATAAGCTAAGACTACAGTGATAAGCTAAGACTACAGTGATAAGCTAAGACTACAGTGATAAGCTAAGACTACAGTGATAAGCTAAGACTACAGTGATAAGCTAAGACTACAGTGATAAGCTAAGACTACAGTGATAAGCTAAGACTAGCGATAAGCTAAGACTACAGTGATAAGCTAAGACTACAGTGATAAGCTAAGACTACAGTGATA